CCAGTCTGGGTGACAGAGTGAGACTCCAACTCAAAAAAAAAAAAAAAATTTTTTTTTGTAAAGACGAGGTCTCACTATGTTACCCAGGCTGGTCTTGAACTCCTGGGCTCAAGGAATCCTCCCGCCTCAGTTTGCCAAAGTGCTGGGATTACAAGTATGAGCCAATGCACCCAGCATACCCTCTTCTAACAAAGTCACTAGTCCTATTGGACTGGACCCCATGGTTATGACTTCATTAACCTTAAATACGTCCTTAATACATTGGGGGTTGGGGCTTCAACATACGAACCGGGTGAGGACACATTTCAGTCCATAACAGGAGCTAAAGGGGAAGTTTAAAAAAAACACAAAAAAAAAACCCAAAAGGAGTAGAGGAAAAAAATGAGGTTGGAGAGGTAGACAAGATCCAGACCCGGAGGACCTTGTAGGCCATGCTAAGGAGACTCAGAGAGGCCCAACATCATCCAGTTCATCAATGCTAAAGCCAGAGTCTATATGTATAAATGATAGACTCCAAAGCCCATGTCATCCAAAATCACTCTGAGTCCCGATAACAAAGCTGAACATGTGCATCTCATTTTGCCATGAGGAAAGTGGAGTTCAGAGAGGGCAAATGACTTGCCCAAGGTCACACAGCAAGTAAGTGGTAGAGCAGCATTTGGTGAGTTCTTTCTGACTCCAAAGAAACACTCTACATATTCTGCAGCCTCCCAGCCTTTGCCTTCTACTGACTTAATTAACTCATTCGTTCGTGCATTTGTGTATCTCTGATTTTTTTTTGAGCTGGCGTCTCACTCTGTCACCCAGGCTGGAGGGCAGTGGTATGCTCCTGGCCACTGCAACCTCGACCTGCTGGGTTCAGGTGATCCTTCTGCCTCAGTCCTCCAAGTAGCTGGAATTATAGGCGCACGTCACCATAACCGGCTAATTTTTGCTTTTTAATGTATTGTAGAGATGAGGTCTCGCCAAGTTGCCCAGGCTCGTCTCAAACCCCTGGGCTCAGGCAGTCCTCTCATCTCGACCTCCTGAAATGCTGAGATTATAGGTGTGAGCCACTGTTCCCAGTTCTAGGATATTTTTATTTTCGATACCTTTTTATGCTAGGCACTGTAGGAGACACTGGGGATGTAGAAATTAGGAAGACTTGGCCCTGTCCTCAGAGAGCTCAGCTAGGAGAAAGGACAGCGGGGTAAGCAAATGTGGGCATTGAAGGGGCTTGCGAGAGGTGCAGGGGAGTCTGAAGGAAGGAGAATGGAGGACTCTGCCTAGGACCGGCAAGATTTTGTGGAGGGGGCAGAGCCCCTTGAATCAGCCTGTGAAGGATGCAAAGGAAGTTTACCTGGTGCAGAAAAGGGAAGAGTTCAGTGTGGGCAGAGAGCCAAGGAGGTTTGGGTAAGTGAAAGACAGAATGATGAGGTCAGCTGGGGGAGGCCTTGGCTGTCAGGCCAAGGCTCAGACTTGATTCTGAGGCCACTGGGGAATTCCCGAAGGGTTTTGAGCAGAGGTGTACCTTGGCCAGGATTTGGAAGGAAGGTCTGGCTGGCCATACTGTCCAAAGACCAGGAGTCTTTTCTTTTGAAGTGAAGGCCTCACTCAGTTGCCCAGACTGGAGTGCAGAGGCTCGATCACGGCTCACCACAGCCTCAACCTCCTGGCCTCAGGCAATCCTTCTGTCTCAGCCTCCCAAGTAGTTGGGACTACAAGCATGTGCCACCATGCCCATCTAATTTTAATTTTTTT